TACATATATACATACATACATACATACATACATACATACATACATACATACATACATATATATATTGATATATATTTGTATATGTATATATATATATTGATATATTTGTATATGTTGACTCATTCACGCACACACGCTTTGTGGTTTCGGTTGACATTTGGAGTGACTATTCACGGATTGAGCAGGTCGATTAATATTTTCGAAATCCTTTTCACTGCGTTTTTATTTCGATTTCGAGCGGTCCGGTTGATTCACTATGGGGCAACTGCAAGGTCCACTGCCAAATCCTTAGCTTCAGCCTTATGAAATAAAATCGCTCAATAGCCTAGCCTAGCCTTTCGTTTTTCTAGAAGACTATGTCAGTGGTAGTCATTTTAGAAGACAATGTCAAAGGTTTATAATTTGGAAGGTTATGTCTGGCAAACAATTTAGAAGACAATGTCAACAGTATACACTTTAGAGACAATGACAATGGTAGACATTTTAGATGGCAAGTCAATGGTTGGCATTTTAGAAGGCAAAGTAAACGGTAGACATTTAGAGGGCTGTATCAATGGTAGATATTTTAGGAGGCGTTGTTTTTTGGCAGGCATTTTAAAAGGCAGATGTCAATGGTATCCATTTTAGAAGGCAAGTCATTGGTGGACGTCTTAGGAGGCTATGTCAATGTCAGGCATTTTAGAAGGCAATGTCCATGATAGACATTTTAAAAAGGCAAGTCAATGGTAGACAATAGGAGGCTATGTCAACGGCAAGAATTTCAGAGGACGATATACGTTCGAGAGCCTGGCTAAGTGGCTATATCACTTATCAGTCAATAGTAAATTGGAGTTAGGCATGTAAGACGACGTTACTGCTGGTATCGAGAAGCAAGTAGCAATTCAACTTTATTCCTTTATTATTTTTATTATTATTGGTTTTTATCGATACAATGAATGTTTCCGATACTTAGTCCCGTCATTACCATGAACTGGTGGGACAGGGTGGAGTCCGGTGTAGGGTTCACTCTGGTAGTCAACTGTACGCCGCTCGAACCATTCACAGTGCGAGTGATCGCAATGTATTGGATGAGAAGGAATGATCGTCGACTACGGATTCTATGCTTCGATTGTAGAGTAATAAAATGTATTTATATGTTTGATCATTTGTCATAATTTGTGGGTTTTTGACTTTTTGTACAGGTAGCTAAAAACTCAGAATTCATTCAGACACGTGTGAGTTAATGAGTTTGTTTCTGTTGTATACGATGTTTCCGCCTAAATAATTTCGACCAATGATATAGCCTTTTATTATATGTGGATTTCAAAGGGATCATTCTCGAGTTCTACCTAAATAGATCTTATAAATAGGTAATAGGTGTCCGAAACCCACTTTGGTCACTACAGTTCAAAAAGGCTTTATGGAGATAAATAGACGCATTCTCGAATAGAGAGTCGAAATAAGACTTAAATACATATTTACAACCGAGTAGTGAGTTTAATTGTGTACTGGTGTGGATATGCTTCTTCGAAATGGAAGAGGTTTGTTCAGCTGTTGTTTCTGATGCGTAAATATATGTTCGATACCACGCTGAGATCGCGTGTAGTGGAGCGCATTAAAATATTCTTTGGAGATAACTGTATTTTTTCAATTCCACTCAAGGGACCCTACTGATACACCGGCTATAGTCGAATTAAGTATCGTAAATGGGATGGGACTACACCTTCAGCAAGTGCCAGTAGCTCCTAGTGAATATAGCGTGACGCAAGGTGTGGTAAGTGGAATTATGGACATTGTGGATTCAAATATATAGGCGATCGTGTTATGAACCCAAATCCTTATGCTAAGACTAGTTTGGAAATAATATAAATAAGTACGGATCAGCCACCAGGAGGATGTACTGGAGGCACCTTCAGATAGGATCAAATATATAATATCCATTCAAGTTAAGGTGGTGTGATGATTCTTTGTTTTTCAAAATATATTCCGTTCGACTAGCACAAAATGCGAAGAAAAAGCTTGTCTGAATGCTTCAAATTTTGCGACCGGCTGATACTATGGAAGTAGTTCAAGCATCAATCAATGGAAACCAACATTATTTATGGTCCCTTTCTATATGCTCTTGTTTTTCGAGGCGCATCCGCCAAAAGGTACAGCGCTTGGATGGCACTGGCTGATCCACGGCGAGTACAACTGATGACTCACGAAACATACTACAAGTGCATAAATTTATTCGAGATTCAAAGACATCGGACTCGGTTGAATTATTTAGCATCCTCATTAACAATGAGTTGACCTCCCGGCGACAAGAAATACTTTGACACTCCAGGTCTGAGCTTCTGGAATTCGGCGGCAGATACCGTTTTAACAACCAAAGGAGTGACCTTCACGTACTTGGAGACGGTTTCCAGCATACCGTTGATGGATGGCGTGTTCTTGTGTATCATCGTTTGGTGTGTGTGCTTCAGCCCGAGAGCCTGGAAGGTTGCTCTGCAACGTTAAGTGTTGCACAGATTAGTAGAGCCTGTACTTACACCACTCAAGAGTACGGATAACTTCAAAATACGAAATAGATATATTTAACTATATAACGTATGTGAGCCAAAACTTTACGAAACTTGCATAATAGATCAGGCGTAAGCAACTCTGGAGTCAGACATACGTGGAGACAAATATAAATTTAGAAGCGTACGTGGCATACGAAAGGTGTCCTCGACACTTGTGGAACGAACTATGACGATCGAAATGCGCGAACGGATCGAGATTTGTGATTTCAAGCAGATAATCGAATCATGACGGTATACAGTTGTCGGAAGTAGCAGAAAACTTATCCGTGAGCACAAATCACACTAAATGACACCGCCATCAGTAAAAATATACATGTACAGGCATCCATTATCAGGTCTATCAGATCTACATACACACCAATGCGTATTGAGCGATACAAATACTAATGCATAACTTTATGGGAGCGCTTGCTTATGTTCTGCACACACAAACACACACGATTACATGTAATCCGTTTTAGATATTCCTCCACCTGACCATGAAGGTTCATAAACACGCAATCAACTAGATATACATGTACATTCATTATATATATATATATATATATATATACTATTATACATACGTACATAATTACATA